AAAAAAAAAAAAAAAAAAAAAGGAATATATATATTTATATTAACCTACCCTCCTACCCTCCAATAATTTCAAACCTAATATAAAAACCGAATTGAAGAGGTCAAAAGGGTAAAAGCTGGGCAGTAAGTAAGTAAAAAGAAGATAGTAAAAAAGAAATTAAGAATAAAGAGAAAATATAAAAAATAAATTAAAAAAAGGTGTAAAGGTTGTATTTTTATTAAAGATAAAGCCCTATTGCTTGACCAAACTTAAAGCCCTTTGAAAAAGAAATTCTAGGTTTTTTCTTTTTATTTATTATTTTTTTAAAGTTGACTATTTATGTTTTTTCGTTGGAGTAAGTGAGATTCAGTGAGCGTGATTAGCGGAAGAGTAGTTTTTATTTATTTTTATTTCTTACAATAAAAGAAATAAAGAATAAAGCGAAACAATAAAATAAAATAAAGATAAAGTAAAGATAAAATCATAAAACAAAGAGGATCCAATGAGAGCCTTAAATTTGTGTTCATTTTAGAATTTCATATAATTTAAGAGTTGGATTAATGAGTGGAAGACAATGGCTTCCATAGCAGAAGACAAAACAGCAACATATTGGGAATCATAATTGGGATTAAGGGGTTAACATCGCTGCCCAGACGCTTTCTTCTCAGCCTAATTCTCACGTACTTTCTCCTCTGTTCATCGTCCCACTGAGCGGCGTCGACGCCTTGAGCGAGAAGCAACGGCGGGGGGAGTTGATAAGGGCATTTGGATCGCCAAGAGGTCACGGGGAGCCCCAATCGGGAGAGTCTTTTGAGGAACAGAGAGAAGCCCCATTGAAGGTGAAGAGAGGGAAAGGGGAAAATAGAAGGTTTGGAGCAGAGGAGCGGCGGGTAGTCCCAATTCAGGTAGCAGGGGATCTTGGTGGCGATGAAGAACTGAGACGCAAGCGGCGGAGCGGTGGTGGGGCACAGCAGAATATGCGTTAGGGCTTCAAGCTTTTCAGTCCAGGGTGCGTCTTCCATAATCTATTTCACTGGAACAAACATGAACAGTATCTGAAAAGGGATTATAGAGAGATAGAGATAGACATGGGCTTTGTTGGGCCCATTTTATAATTGGGCCCATGAGCCTTTTGTTGTTTGGGCCTAATGGCTTAGTTTCTAGTCCATTGGGCTTGGGCTTAGGTAAATAAAATTAATGTTCCAAGACGATGGTTTATTGTTAATAAACCAAACTAAATTAACAAAAACAGTTACGAAATTTGATATTGTAAAAAGAGAGAAAATGAATATTCAGTCACGTGCCTGGCCTTGCCTTCTAAATTAATCATCCAGAGAACCATCTGGAAGCTTCCACGGCCTTCTGGATCTCTGTGGTTCTTCCGGACTCATCCTTTTCTATGCCCCGACGCCTTATTTCGGCACTCCAATTTTCCGAACCGCAATTAGCTCTCTGTAAAGCGTGTACTAGATTCCAATTCTAGCTTCGATTTTTTTTTTTTTTTTTTGCAGATTTTGAGCAACAACTAGGAGGTTGAGAAGATACACATATATGGGTGTAGATTATTACAAGATTTTGCAGGTAGACAAGAACGCCTCAGATGATGATTTGAAGAAGGCTTATAGGAAACTTGCCATGAAATGGCATCCCGATAAGAATCCCAACAATAAGAAAGAGGCCGAGTCCAAGTTCAAGCAGATCTCTGAGGCTTATGAGGTAAACCCTTCCGTTTCGATCGATCTTTCTTTTGTGGGAATTAGTTACTTTGCGATCGAATTCATCGTTTCGGTTTTCGTTTTCTTTGGGTTCTGAGGATTTTTTTAGTCGAACAAACGGATTTCTCCGTGTGTTTTAGGAATTAGTAATGGTTCTTTTCGATGTTTCGAATGCTTGGATTCAATTATGGATTTATATTGAAACTTGTGGCAGGTTTTGAGTGATCCGCAGAAGAAAGCAATCTACGATCAATATGGTGAAGAAGGTTTGAAAGGTCAGGTACCTCCTCCGGGCGCCGGAGGTCCAGGCGGTGCATCGTTCTTCCAGACTGGGGATGGGCCAACGGTGTTCAGATTCAACCCTAGAAATGCCAATGACATTTTTGCCGAGTTCTTTGGATTTTCGACCCCATTTGGAGGAATGGGCGGCGGCGGCGGCGGCGGCGGCGGCAGTGGCATGGGCATGAGGGGCGGTTCGAGGCCATTTGGTGGCGGCATGTTTGGGGATGATATGTTCGCTTCATTCGGTGATGGCCAGCCGATGAGCCAAGGTCCGCGAAAAGCTGCTCCAATTGAAAGGAGACTGCCCTGTAGCCTTGAAGATCTCTACAAAGGCACCACCAAGAAGATGAAAATCTCCAGAGAAATTGCTGATGCTAGTGGGTATGTCCACTTCATTTCCATTATTTGCTTGTTTTTCTTGAGGTTTTGAGAGGAAGCAACTTAAATGAATAACTCCTCGTTTTACTTCATATTGCAGGAAGACATTGCCTGTGGAAGAGATTCTAACAATAGAAATCAAGCCTGGTTGGAAAAAGGGCACAAAAATAACATTCCCAGAGAGAGGGAACGAGCAACCAAACATGATTCCAGCAGACCTGGTTTTCGTTATAGATGAAAAGCCACACAGCACATTCACAAGGGACGGAAATGACCTAGTCGTCACAAGGAAAATCTCTCTTGCTGAAGCTCTAACAGGTTACACAGCCCATGTCACCACACTAGATGGAAGGAGCCTGACCATCCCTATTAACAATGTCATCCATCCAGACTATGTGGAGGTCGTTCCAAAGGAGGGCATGCCAATACCGAAGGACCCCTCCAAAAGAGGAAACTTAAAGATCAAGTTCGACATCAAATTCCCCACATACTTGACTTCAGAGCAGAAATCTGGGATTAAGAAACTTCTGGTGTCTTAAGACTGTGTCGCGTGCCGTACTCTTGTAAGAAGTTAGTATCGTATGAGAGTCTCTGTAATCGCAATGCAAATCTGTTTTTAAATTGCTATACTCGAGGCTTCACTGTCTCGAGGTGTGGCAATAGAAGAAACAATAAATGTGGATACTCTTGCATGAAAGCTGAATTTGAGCTTGTTAAGTTGTCGATTTGTGTATGTTCTCGTATATTTGAACAATAATCGTAGGTAATTTTTAGTATGATGATGAAATTCTGTAGTCGGTTCTTGTCTTGAAGAGTTGATGAACAAAGAGAATACCCCTTCTAAAACAGGGGAGTCCTGTGAAATTTCGACAATTCTACAGAGTAATCAAGAGAGACGAAGGATTCCCGTTTCCCCCCCACCTGTAGCAACTATATCTTTACAAATTTTTATTATCAAATAACACTACTCTAAGAGGAATGATACACTTTCAACCAATAAATTAGACTTAGACTAGGGATGATGATGATGATGATGATCTAGGAGGTAAATGGCAGACATGGGGGGGATCTAAGACTAGAAATTGATATTTGGGTTGGGTGGGGGAAACTGCTATTTTGTTCCCCTGTACACAAATTCAGCCGGTAGTGAAGGGTATCTCAAAATTACGCAGCTTCTCAAGGTGGTGGTCTGATATTTTGTTATTTAATCACTATAGTCGTCGTCTGAAACAGCGGATTCTGCACCACCATTGTTGTTGCCTACTATCCTCCTCCTATTTGGTGAACAATCCGACTCCTCGCTGGTATCATCAACATCTAATTCCTCCTCTATATCATCGTT